ACACACACACACACACACACACAGACAAACACACACACACACACACACACACACATATATATATATTCGCAGCCCTATCTTTAATTTCTGCATTCTTCCTGTTTTAATATAGCATTTGTTTTTTTAAGACGTATTCCTAACTATGTTTTCTTTTGTGTGTTTTTATCCCACATGCAAAACTAACTTTTCTAAATTAGGACTGTGGTTTTTCTTGAGTATCTGATGCAAGCCTGGAATTTATTTGTTACATTTTTTCTACCATCTGGACGTTTCAAAGAATTATATAAACTCAGTATAAGGATAAAAGTTTACAGAGGGAAAACCCAACATGACCATAGCTTTCAGTCTATAAACTGTAAAGGGTGTGCTACTTTTTTAAAGTTTGCAAAATCACAAATAAGAAAGAGGGAAGTCCGTTCAAGGCCAAAGTGAAAGGAGTAGGCACACACTACTCATTATACCACTTGCAGGAAATGAATAATTTCGCCACCACCGAAAGAAGAAAAAAAACCCTGCGTTTCCTAGAATTGCCAATATTTATTTTTACTATGTAAAAATAAAAGTCCACAGACTCTTAAATATGAGCAAGAAAATAATAACTGGAAAGATCCCTTAGCTAACCCTTTAATAAAACAAGTTTATGATGGGTCTAAAATTGATACTCTGATCTCTTCATGTACACAAGAAGTCTTGGTATATTTACTCAGAAATCTCACACTTTATTAGTGAAGATGATCTCTAAATAAATGGTCATAGAAATATAAGTTGATTGGGAAATAACTAGGTCACCCAATTGCATAAGCATACATAACTCAGCAGGGAATGTTTTAAAACAGGGGTGTCAAACTGAAGGCCCAGGATCTATATCCAGATCTCAGAGTCGTTATATCTGGCCCGCAGAGCTGCCCTAGAAACAGCGAAGGACCAAATCACAGTACCTCTGCCAGCGAAAACTGATCTTGGGAGGGTTGCGGCAGAGGGTTGCAGGAGGCCACTGCATCCGAAAACGGAGCATGGGAGCCCATTTTTGCTGGCAGAGTGCTCGGGCCACAAACAGGAGCTCCCAAAACCAGTGACATTGAGGTGGCAACAAACACCCTGGCTATTCCCACCCCGGTCCCCAAGGTCAAACACAACCCTGATGCGGCCCTCAATGAAATTGAGTTTGACACCCATTTTAAAAGGTTAACACATAATTATTCAGTGGGAAAATGTAACTCTCCTAATCAAAGGTAGAAAAACAATATATGGCAATGAATTTTTGATCATTGCATGACCTATTATGGTACTTGTAGAATATTGAGAATATTCCTAAAGGGCCAGCAACAGCCTATGCTGCGCCCCAATTGGCTGGGACGCAGCATAGCCTGTTGCTAGCCAGCTAACGCACTCTGATTGGCCGGGGTACTGCGTCAGCAGTTGCTGGACAGTACCCGGCTCCCTATTGGTTCCCCGTTTTACAAACCGCATATAAATGCCTTGGCGCGGATTCTGCTTCTTCGAATTCCTGTCATCTGTTCGTTCTTTGCAATAAACCCTTGCTGTTTCGAAGTCCTGGCTCTTGCGTCTTCTGTCCGCCTTCAATCCACAAAACTGGCAACGAGGATGGGATTCAGCGATTCCCGCAGAGCCTAGGACAACGAGCGAGAAAGAATTAGCCAGCCGCACAACCCGCCGGCGCACGAACGCTAGGAAATTTTTTTTCTCTCCGCTCCATCTTCTGCCATTGAACTGACTCAATCGGCGACCATGGCATCAGCCTTGCCACCTTTTGCACCGTTCGGATCTGGTGGTGAAACCTGGGAAGGTTTCATGGAGCGATTCGAATGTTACCTGATCGCGTCAAAAAATCATAACCAGCCTGAAGAAGAAAAATGTAGTTTCTTTTTAAGCTGCTGCGGCCCCGCAATGTTCGTGTCAGCCAGAGCCTTAGCCGCCCCTCGGCCAGCCTACACCCTTGGCTGGGACACTCTGATGGCCAGGCTTAAGGGCCACTACGCCCCGGCACCTTCCCGCATTGCTCGCTGCTTCGCTTTTCACCGCCGCGTCCAAAAGCCGATGGAAAGCATCAGCCAATTTCTGGAGTCGCTCCACGTAACAGCGGCTCAGTGCGACTTCCAGAATTTGGACGAGAATTTAGTTGAACAGTTTGTGTGCGGCGTGAGAGACATACATTTAAGAAGCCGCATGTTTAGGCACCACGACATCACCCTGCAGCAAGCCGTGGAGGCTGCCAGAGCAGCGGAGCTCTCTGAGCAGTCCACGGCCAACATTGAATGCCTGCAGCTGGCATCGCCTCTCCTTGCCCCGATGCCAGGGTGCCCTCCGTCTGCCTCGCAAGCCTGCCTGGTTGATGAACTGTTGCCGCCAGAAGACCCCTCCAATGAGGTTGTTGGCCAGCTTAGGGCGCAGCCTAGGCGCCCACCACCGCCACCACCACCTCCAGCTGCCTCTACTGCCTCCGGGTGCATTGGTTGTGGCGGCCGCCATGCCCGCACGGCCTGCCCATTCAAAAACACCACCTGCCACCGCTGCAACAAAAAGGGGCACATTGCCCAGGTTTGCCGTGCTTCTCTGCCTGCGCCGTCCTTCTTGCAGCAACCTGCCGCATCCCAAGCGCAGCCGCACCGCCAGTCGCCGCGGCCCGCTCGGCGGGCTGAAGATTGCCACACCGTGTACCTGCCAGAAGTCACTGGGGAAACCGTGAGCCAGGCGTCCGCCGGAGCCCGGAAGGTTTTGGCATCGCTCCACCTGGAAGGTCAGCCTTGCCGCATGGAGGTGGACTCTGGCTCCTCCCGATCCCTGATCTCCTGGGCCGCCTTCTCCCATCTATGCCCCCACATCTCCTGTGCCCAGCTACTACCTGTGGACACATCCCTTAGAGACTACAAGGGGACTCTCATTCCCACCCTGGGGTCTTTTCCCATCCTTGTGGACTATGGGACTTTTCATGGGCGTCTGCCCATCCTAATTGTAAAGAATTCCCTCCCTGCGTTGCTTGGCCTTCACTGGTTTCCTCCCTTGGGTCTCTCTATCGGGGGGGTGCATAGGGTGGTTCCCTCCTCCCTGGAGGACGTCCTCTTAGAGTTCTCTGACGTCTTCGACAGCCAGCTGGGCTCCTACAGGGGCACCCCTATCTCCCTCAACCTCAATCCCCAGGTTGCTCCAATTCGGCTCAAGGCTCGCCGGATGCCTTTTGCCTTAAGGGCTAAGGTTGACACTGAGCTGGACAAGCTTTTGGCGCAGGGCGTACTCAAACCCGTCGACCATTCACGCTGGGAGACCCCAATCTTGGTCCCAGTCAAACCAGACGGGTCGGTGCGGATCTGCGCCAAAAGAGCCAAGGTGGCGCAGTGGTTAAATGCAGCACTGCAGGCTACTGCTAGATCAGCAGGTCAGCGGTTCAAATCTCACCGGCTCAGGGTT